CTTTAAATGATCAGAAACTGTTAAATGAACTTATTATTCTACCTCACTTTAAAAAGGAATTGGGAAGAAATGTTAAAACATTAAAACATCCTCCTCTTGATATATTCACAAAATATTTGGGCCATAGCCATGCTGGCAAGTTGACTACTTTTAAAAGAAACACAAAGAAAGAAGAAAAAATAGCCATACATGCTAGCCTTCTCAAGTGTTGTTGAAACCTTGTGTGTGCAAAAAATTTAAATGTATCGTCAGAAGGCAAGAACTGGGATATATTCAGAGGTATATTCTAAAAAATAATGTAGGCAACACTTGTGAAAAGCCTAAAGAAAAGAAGAAGAAAAATATATGGCTAATTAAAGAACCGAGTATGCATCAGATTCGGATTAAGCCTAAATCTAGAAAAAGCAATAGTAATTTCAATAGATCTTTTAGAAGCTGGGAGCAAAACAGGAGCAGCCCACTTTGATTCTGGTTTAAATCAGGACATTCAAAAAGCTTCAGCCCCAATTTGTAATTCTACCATTTCAAACCATTGCAGTCTCTCCTTTATTCTAGGACTCCATTGACAATGTCAGCAGCAGTTAAATTAACCTGGATAACAGAAATTCCAGCCCTCCCATGACTAGTCTTAGTGATCAGTATACTAGGATGACAGCTGTTAGGATATGGTGTAAACCTAACAAGTTGTCCAGGCAATATATGTGTTCTATCACTTTAAATGTAATGCTGAGTAATTGTACTGCTGAGTCATTGTAATGACTAATGACTAATGTCATTGTAATGACTAATGACTGCTGACTGGATGCTGACTGCAATTATCATAATTGTACTGTTGAGTCATTGCACTGCTGACTTCACTTATCTTAAGTGGATAATTACTAGTATAAACTGTATATAAGGAGGAAGCCGAGCTATAGTCATTGTTGGACTTGCCTCATCATTGCTTGACTTGCTGCTTGACTTGTTGGTTGGATCTGTTACTATCATGTGTGAAGACATGGATGGATATGCTACCATCATGATTTGTTACCAGCATTGAATTGCTGTTTGTATGGTAAGAAAATATCTGTAAGTTCGGACTGATTTGAATGGCTAAAGACTTGGATTGATTAAAAGACTATGCAATTGTTTTTCACCACAAAGTAAAAGTTTTGTTAAACCAGTTTGTATGTATTGTATTCATTGCTCTCAGTACCGTTTCTCTGTGCACTTACTCTGCTGGTTGGTAACACAACAATATCCTTAACATTGGTTATGGGCCCAGAACCAACCAGAATTAACTAGGATTGTTCAGAGCTAAACTGAGAGTTAATGTGAACAATACAGAAAACTGTGTTTGTGAAATTTAATCCAAGTGAAGATGGCACAAGAACAGTTATCAAATATTTCCATGATAACCCGGCTGGATGTATCCTGGTCTACAAAATGCAATCTACTTCTGCGTAGAGAAGGACTTTGGGACGTAGTAAATAATCCACCAGATGTAACAACATGGAATCCTGATGACGATGAAGATGCAAAGAAATTAGCCAAGTTTACCAGAGACAATGAACGAGCTCTTTGCATAATTGGACTGACACTGAGTGACCAGCAAGAGTGGCAAAGAATCTGCTGCTAGGTGTTGGACCAAGTTGAAGAGACTATATGTTCGTGACACTGTGGGTGCTCATATAAATCTCACACAGAAATTGTTTAAGCAACATCTTCTTAAAGGAGGAGATATGATGGCTTATTTGGAATCCATGACCAGAATTTTCCAGGAGCTGCATGAAAAGGAACTTGTTTTCTCGGAACTACAGCAAGTCTATATAATTCTTTCTTCTTTGGACGATAGTTATGACGACTATGTTTCTTCACTGGAGGTTTTGACCAGAGATGACCTCACATTGGCTGGCATAACCGGTAGGTTATTAGAAGAATCCAGAAGAAGACAAGAAAGGGATCAGTTGAGAGTAAACCAACCAAAAGAAAACAAAATGTATTCAACTGTCTATGTTGTAAAATGATGTTTTGCTTGTGGGGCTAAAGGGCATATAGCTAAGTATTGTAAGAATAAGAAAATGTCTGTTAGGGATAATAATAGACCCAAGAAGGGTTGTAATTTAGCTATATCCAGTTCAACAACTAATGTTAACCAGGATTGGTGGATTGCTGATAGTGGTGCTTCTCAATCTATTACTAAGAATAGAAACAATTTTGTGAAAATGAATAAGAGTAACCAACATGTTAGATTAGCAAATGGTTGGAAGGTTAAGGTAGCTGGAGAGGGTGTTGCACGTTGGTCATTTAATAATGAACCATTGCCTATGTTATATATTCCTGGGTTAAAGTATAATTTGCTCTCTGTTAAATCATTATTGCAAGTTGGGTTTACAGTAACGTTTAGAAATGATAAATGCATTATTGAAAAATATGGAAAGATTGTTACTGCAGTATTAGAAAATGATTTATTCATTTTAAGAGAACCCAGCATTAGTAGCAAATTCTAAGTTGGTGTACAGGAATGATAAACCACATGATGAATGTATTCATCTGTTGCATCGGAGACTAGGGCATATAAATTTCAGGTCGTTAAAGAAAACAGTTCAGCTCTCTGAAGGTATAAAACTACAATCATGTAATAAGTATTAAAATTGCAACACCTGTAATCAGCAAAAGAGTAAGGTAACACCAGCAAATTGTTTTGATGGTTTTAAAACCAAAAAGCCATTAGAAGTAGTATTTGTAGATTTGATTGGACCCAAGAAACCCAGTATAGGAGGTGCCTGCTATATTCTGAGCATAGTAGACCATTACTCTAGGTACGGATTCTGTTATCTTATGAAAACGAAATGTGAAACATTCCAGCATATAAATAACTGGCTGAGATTTGTTGAAAGGAAACAGAAGTATAAAGTAATGTGTTTAGTAACAGATAATGGTACAGAATTCACTAACCAAAGGTTAGAGAAGTTTTTGCAAGAGACAGGAATACAGCATAAATGCTCTGCACCATATAGACCCCAACGCAACGCTTATGTTGAGAGAAGGGGTCAAACATTACAAGCCATGACTAGAACAATGTTGGCAGATTCTGGTTTGCCTGAAACTTTATGGGGTGAGGCTGTTATGTGTGCTAACCATGTGTTAAACAACATGGTACATTCATCTACTGGTGAAGTACCATTTACATTATGGCATGGGAGGAAACCAAATCTTAGTTACTTACACACATTTGGAGCCCCAGCTTGGGTGCATATTCCATCAAATGTGAGAAGGAAGAAACAACAAAGAGCCAGAAAAATGTTTTTCGTAGGCTATGATTCAAACCATAGATCTTTTAGATTTTGGGCACAGGGAACTACTAGTGTTTACTGTAGTGCTAATGCAAAATTTCTAGAGCACAAAGGATGGGAGAAACTTGAGCGTGCAGATTATAGACAGGATGACAATATTGTTAGCATTGAGCATCAAATGAGTAATGATACACTTGATGAGGATATAGATAATATAGATTCTTCTATTAAGGTTGAAGAAGAGGAGGTAGTTTTAGGGGAGGATGAAATTGAATCATCTGCAATGAGTCCTGTATTACCTAGGAGATCCAGTAGGGAAAGACATCCACCTGAGAGGTATAAAGCAATGGTAGTTTGTCAGGTTAACATAGAACCTTCAAGTTATGAAGATATTAGGTTGTATCCTGAAAAAGAACAAAATGCATGGAAGGATGCAATGAGTAGAGAAATTAACTCATTAACTAAATTAGGTGTTTATGAGGATATTAAATTACCACCTGGAGAGAAATTGATTGGTTGTCTGCATTTGTCTGCATGTCTGAATAGGACTGTTTTCACCACTGCACATTTTCATGCTTTTGCAAAGCACCCAGGAATGTGTGTTTGAGATCATCAGTAGCTAAGCTCATTTTAAAGGAGGCTTCAGGTAATTTTTGAACATATGCTTGGGGCAGGTGCAGAGGCTGTCACTGTATTGCTGGATTTGCACTATAATGCAAGGTCACCCAACTGGTATTGTTGAGAATACCTTCTCTTTACCTGTGCCTGTTTTCTGCCAGGTTGCAGCAGTCTAAAAGAAAACAACAGGACCATATATCTATCTATGTTACAAGTGATTGACTTTCTTCACTGACTCTCTTTGGTCATTCATTTTTTTAAAAAATAACTTTATTAAACATGTTACAACTTAATGAGATGTAGGAGGAGTACCAAAAGTAGTCCAGAGACAACCTTAGTTTCAGATTGATCTGTTTTACAGTAGTGCCAAGATTGGCAACTTCTCCTTCCCCCTCCATCCCCTCACACATTGATATTAAAAGATTTTAGCTAAAACATCCCTGTGTATTTTACATGATAACTGACTAGATCTGACCAGAAATTTTTTGGCAATCTAACCCAACCCCCACCCAAAAAAAAAGTATGATAAAACATTGGAACAAATTTAATTGAATGAGCCTTGCTTCAGAAACAAAGGCAATCCATTTGCTTATTTCTGAAATTTCAATTAATGCCCAAATATATAGCTACCAGAACCTGTGTTGCAAAAAATCTAGATGGCCATCAGAATACAGCAACATTTATGTTTATATTCTTCTTGCCTGTCACCTAATGGGCATCCAAATTTTAGCAGATGAGATTTTCTGAAAGTCCTAGAAAACCAAGTGCATGTTTAAAAAACATTGTTGCAAGAGCAGCTTCAGATCTATGCATTTTTGCTGACTGCCCACTCAGACCAGGGAGTGTTGTGCTCATATAGCAATGTAAGGATTCTGCTGTATCCTTCTGAACTCTTGGGTATATTTTGAGTGTTAAGAGTGTGTCATTGGCACTCTTACAAAATGAGAGTCACAGTGGCATAGCCAGTCACAAAACATTCCGAGCAGAAATCTAACAAAATAGAAGATAAAGTGGTTGGTCAAGAAGCTGCTTGTAAGTAATGTAAGAGATGCTGAATGATATATTCTCTCCCAGGGAGAACAAAAAATCCATTTTGCAGAATGCAAGTTGGTGGTCAGAAATCTATTTATTCAAAGTTCCCCCATGCACATCAAAAGATGCAAGTGAAATTACACAAGTGAAGAGCAATCACATTACATTTTTACAATATTCAAAATGCCTCCTTTATCTTCCACCATCCTTTCTTTTCTTTCTTTCTTTCTTTTTTGCCAAGAATGTCTCTTTAAGTCTATCAGATTTCTCTGCACAATTCCAATTTCTTTTCACTTTCTAGACATCTGGCCATGTTTTAGAACCAAACATTGAACTGCAGACACTTAGCATTTTTCTGCTCAAAAATTCTTGGAAACAATGGTATTGCAGTTTCATGTGTCTCTGTGCAGCATCCCAGACTCCCCTGTTTCTTTTTTTAAAGTTTTTCATCAAAAATATTTCAAAGAAAATTAAGGGACCAGAGAGTCTGGCAAGTATTATAAAAGAAACCTACATAACAACAGAAGTCCTTAAGGATCATATTAGTGATCTTCATTATACAAGCAGGGTATTGTCTAATCACAAAAGCAGATATGCCAATATCTATTCACACACTAGAATTTTTGTGTACAACATGATACTGCCCATATTAATCGAATAGTCTGGGCGTTTTTAGATCAAACTTATTTTGTACAAAAATTGTGTCGCCTTAATCACAAAAATACCTCTGAGATTTTGTACTTAAGTATTCATTACCAGATTTGTTTACATTCTAATATTCAATATCAAAAACCTCACTTGTGAACATTGACAGTTCAAAGGAAGTTTAGTAAAAAAAAAAAAAAAATCTGCAATGCTGTTAGAAATACAGATAGATTTTAATAGTCGAGTAAATGGGTTCCTCAGTATTCAGAGTGCCCTGGCATTTTACAAAAAATGCGAAGTTTGAGCAATATTTTTGAAGATTGATACAGACATTTCTGCCAGATGTTGTATTAAAGGGGCAATTGGAAGTACACAAATTTATTTTAAAGCAATACTGTGTAATATAACACCTGTAAAAAAAAAAAGATAATTAAAAAAAATCTCCAAGAAAACATTTTAAACAGGAGTATCTCCTCTTTCTGCCCATACTGAATTGATACTGTGGATAACATTTCTAGATCATTAGATTTCTAATTTTTCTTTCTCAAATCATTGAAATACCAAAACTTTCATTTCTGTGTAGGCATTTATATTTAAAGTACTGAAGGAATCAGGAAACTTGCTGGCTGTACTGTAACATATAATTTGCAGAAATGGCTATCCACAAAACTTTAGGCATGCACTTAAAAAGCAGCCAAACTTTCATTTGGCAGAAATCTACTTTGCATCCTGGCAGGTTTAAGCATATTTTCTTAGTGCCATTGAAACACCAGACAATCAGTTCAAGTGAATCCGATATCTAGGCTTTCTTCTCATGTTACGGATGGAAATTAAATCAGACAGGTTACTGACATTAATCTGCACTGTTTTGAGGCCAAGATTTCTGATGCGATTGAACGGTAAGTCTCGGGTGAGAAAGAGTTGGTATAGAGATGAATTTAACCTGTAGAGCAGACGCAAGATAATCATACCTTTGCCATTTTTAAGAGATGCATGCTGATCCAACCTGACTCAAATCTCAGTAACAGAGGTTCCAAAAAACAATTCTAGCTATGTATTCTATTACATGGCACATCATCTACACAAGTGAAATTAATTTGTTTTGGTTCAATTTTTGTTTGGCTCAGTGTATTCTGCAATGTGTTTTGTACATAAATGTTCAAGGACACTTTATATATTCCTATATATTTGATCCAGTGTGCCAGGGTCAAATTACCCTTCTCATTATGGAGGAGTGAGGGAATATGACATTTACTGGGATCGCTGGTTGTAAAGGGAGTTGTAATCCATTGGAGTGGCTCTATCTTGAGAGTTGCACAAAAATATGTGTCTTTACCTCCGTAGAAATAAGAGTAATATTATTTCAGGGAGGGTATTGCAAACTGGTTGTTGGTAGAGATCTTCTTGGAAAGCACAGTTGATGTGCTGGAGACAGCAGAGATCATCTTTTTCTATTTGTTTTTATTCTGGCACTGATCCACTGCCAATTCTGGCTATGACAAGAAATTTAATGGCAGGCCCAGAGTCAGCCAGTGAACTTCCAGAGCTAAAGTTGAACTTGAAGCAGGTTTCCAGAGATCCAGTTGATCATCTTATCCAATACTGCTGTTGAGAAGAGTAGACAATATGTGAATGTATGGACAAAAGGACCAACAAAAATTGAACCAAAACAAATGAATTTCACTTCTGTAGATAATGTTCCATATCACAGAAATACATAGCCAGAATTGTTTTTGGAACCTTTGTTACTGAGGTTTGAATCAGGTTGGAACAGCATGCATCTCTTGAAAATGGCAAAGTTGTGTCTGTTATATAGGTTAGATTCATCTCTACACCAACTTTAGCAATTCTAGCTAGACCTGGTTTTTCTACTGTCACCAGGAAGGGTTACTTCTATTATCATCATCATCATCGTCAAAGTTTAGCATATTTTTTAATATATATCATGAAGCTCCCTATCCGAACATCTATCAAGCCATGATTTTTTGTTGCACTTAAGCGCTTTAAGTCCTTGTACATGCTACAGAAATATTTGATTGTTTATATTAGATTTCCTTTGTAAAGAAATTAAAGCAGGTGCCTCAGCAGGGAGCAGACTAAATGTCTCCATTTCAGTTGCTTTTAGTTCTGGGGTTTAAAAACACGGAAGGAGATCTTTTAAAACACGGAAGGAGATCTCATTCCGCGCGGCGTTTCCTTTAATTCTGTTGGTTCCTTTGCTTTAACCACCGATTCTGAAAAATATTTCTTCTTCGCTCTATTCCGGTGAGATCTGATGTAGCTGGAAGAAAGGCTGGGTCCCACTAAAAGTCCGCAGCTAAGCAGGTTGGAGCCAAGGAGGAGCGAAACAGATCTGAGGAAACTTAGCCAGCTTCCTCAGATCCGCTGAGTAGCACTTGGGCTGGCAGAAGCCGAGGTGGGCGCAACGAGAGAAAAATAAAGCGCCAACCGCGAGATCAGCGAGGAAGGGAGGGCAAGAAAAATGGGCAAGAAAAACACAGTGCTATATACATACGTTTACATTTTAATCCCTCTACCTCAATCTTTCCATCTTTAATTTCCTTTAATGTATTTTTTAAATAAAACAACAACAAAAACAACATTTTCTGCATCGATCCTGCGTCTAACAAAACTGGCAGAAAGTTTTGGCCAACTTAAAAAAGCTCTCGGTTGCGGGCCTCGCGGCGCCTCAGTCTTTAGGCCAGCGCCCGTAGCAGCTTCGATTCAGTCGGCAGGCGGCGCTGTTTCTCCACTCCCGAAGTCGGCGCGCTCGGCTGTGCTGTCAGGCGCTTCAGCACTTCCGCGCGAGCACCGAAGTCGGCTTTGGAAACCATCGCGCAGTCACTCCCTTTCGTCCACCCGATTGTAAGGCGTAAAGGTGCCTTCTGGATTCCTAAAGGCTCCTTCGCACCCACGCGCACCAAAGTCTCTAAGACACTTACGGACAGAGGACAGAGGGCCAAAAGCGAAGCCGAGTGGAGAGATAATAATTTTAAGACCGGTGACCACACAAAACAGTAGAAAACGCCGGCGGGGGTGCTAGTATCGAATGCCCTGTCAAATGGAGGTCGCCTTCGGATACTTTCACCCAAAACTGCTTCCATATTTTTCGCGTAAACCTGCCTCCGGACATGGGCTTTCCCGGCCGGAGCTCAAGCAACTTCCTCTGGTTCTTTCAAGACACTATTCCCCATTGAGGCTCATAGGGAAGGAAGGGATAGTCACCTGGACAGGAGGTCCCCTCATTCCCTCAGGCGATGAAGAATTAGGATGGCCTCTTAACCCGGGATGTGTAATTGCTCTAGACTGGGCAAAAGTAAAATCGAGGGGAGGGGGGTATTTTCCAGGAAACGACACTTCTATCCCAGCCCCAGGAACAAGTGTCCTGCAATTATTTCGCAAGGGACTCAAAGCACCGCCTCAGGCTTTATTGCAGGAGTGTAAAGCGACACGAGGATTCAGATCCCCGCGTGTTTTGGGGACTGACCCAAATTCCGCGAGTTTATGTTTTTCCCTGCATTTAACTGAAACCTAAGCCATTTTATCTTCGCAGATTCCGGTAGGAATTCCTGTGTTATCTCAGGATTGAAATTTTGCGAGTATAAATATCCTACAGAGTGCTAATTGAATTTTCTAGCCAGTCAGTCACAGTAAATCTTGTGAGTGGGGAGATTTCTAGCTCCTTCCCTCAGGCACTTCGAAAGTTGCATCTTTTCTAATAGAGATAATAGTGCCCGGAAGTCAGTCTGGCGTTTTCCTCAAGAGAATGGCTGCAAGGGTATTTTGGGACGGCAGCCTAGCGACCCAGTCTGGACATGCCACTGAATTCCTGGTGCTGTGAAGAAGCTCCTTCAAGGAAAAGAGCAATTCTTCGAAAACAAAACCCCAGAATAGTTAGGATCGTGACACAACCAAGGAAGAGATAAACTATTTTAAGATTTCGTTCAGTGGCTCTGGAACGCATCTTTCTTCTAGATCGATAATAAGTGCCAGTGCCGAATTTAGAATACATATTAATACACAATAAATTAGCCTCAAATTCTTGCTTTTCCTGACACCTATGGAAGGAACTTTCTGTCCAGCATCAAATCTTTATTTTAACTCTGTGTAAATTTAAACCATCATCTCTCCAAACAGCAACGCCCTCTCCCTTTTCCTCCCCCTTTATCCTTCGACAAGGCTTTGAAGTTGGTTCGACTGCGGAATAGTGATTGACCCAAATCTCCGCCTGCCTTTCCAAACTGAGCAGGGATTTCAACTCTGTCCGTGATCGACCCTGCAGCTGAGGTTACAAAGCCTATTCAACCTTAAACCAGGATTAACAAAACATAACGCTTTGTCTGCAGAAATATGCTCTAGCCCAAGGAGTCGTTTTATAGTTTCACGGGTTGGCTTCTTACATGTAAACCTCGATAGTGGCTGACTGGGTTCCCACAACACAAACGGCCCAGTCTTGTTTTATCTTAGCCTCCTAGTCTGGCCCAGTCTACTGTGTGACCTCAGCACCTATCGCGTATTAGGTCTAAAAAGGAAGCAAGTAAAGCATTTCTTCGGAAGTTCTCAGTCCACAAGGCGAACAAGGCACCTTTCCAAAGGAGATGCACGGAGCAAGGAAAGCTGACTAGTACTAAAGTTTGCCTTTAAATCTCGGAGACTCAGAAATGAGACTGCCCACAACCAAGAGTAAGAAGAATCTTAAACCACCACACGTCCGTGCACGTGTTCCCGAATCGTGGCAGAAAGACACTTGTGGTTAATGATTCCATGCCTTAATTTAAGCTTTATCTTTTCTTTCAGAGAGGCACCTTCGCACACAGTGTATTATTTATTATTCTTTCCAAAGCTCCGAATTAGATGCCAGTTGAGTTAGAGCCTGATCCTAAATGCGTTTACTTCGAGTTGAATGTAACATACTTACAAGGCTGCGATCCTAATACAGTCTTCTTTGGACAGGATTCAACGGAGCTCACTTTTAAAAGAAGGATTTGGGATCCTTCTTTTAAAATTTGGCCACGTGAGACTGCATATTAGGACTGCAGCAATGCTTAGCTCCATCATAGTCAGTGGGGTCACATCCTACCACTTCAAGCGAGGGGGTTAAGCATGGTCTGTGGTAGAAGGTGTCAAACGCACGTTCTCAGTTATGTAACTGAGCAAAGGAACATGGAATACTGGGTGCAAGTTTCTTCTCTCTCTTCTTTCCCCCCATTGGATCCAAATAAATCCAGTTTGGCTAGTCCTGCTCCAACTGGAAACACCTAAGTGGAGAGAGAGCTGGCGCGATCCTAAGATATTAATTCCAAGTATTGGTTCTGCCCCCGCACCACTTCCTCATTGACTTAAACTTGGGGCAGGACACCCAAGGCAGCTTTGTAGAAAATCTATTTACAAAGTCAAAGAGCAAATAGCTAAGGCGGACTGCCTCCGCCTCCCCGCCCGCCCGCTGCCTCCCTCCCTCAACCCGGCTGAGAGATTTCGGCTGAAAACATCCGTGAACCTGCAGAAAGCGGCCTTCTTTTTTTTTTTTTCCCCTTCCCTTTTTGCACTAAGGTCGAGACCTCCTTCACCTCCGCAGTTCCCACTCAGTAGTGCAGAATAGACCATGCACACTCAGGGCATCAAGCCAAAAGCAGCTTCAGCTTTTTCCAGCGGGAGCCTGGAATCACCTCGGGGGCCTCCTGTGGGGCAGCCAAACCCTTCCCCGCCCCCAGCCTCGAAGTCCACCTTGCCAGGCAGGGGGAAAAAAGGAGAGATCGGCGCTGTCTCGCCTGCCGGACCTCCAACTTCAACTTTCCCCTTTCCACTCTTTGCGCTCCGGCCTTTGCCAAAGCGAAAAGGTGGCGGGGGGAGGGAGCACCGGTGCGCCCGTGATACCGGCGGCCTTTTTCTTTGCTTGGAGGATATGGAGGCTGGGGAAAAACTGCAAAGCGTGCCTTACAAAGACCTCAAAATCCGGGAGATAAAAACAACGGCAGCTATACAGCAGATATATTTTTACAGTTGTGGTTATTTCGCAACTCTCAGCTCCCCGACAAGACTAGGGCTCTCACTTTGCTGGTTACTTTTCCCATTATTATATACAGCCTAGCTTAACTTTCACTTTTGCCTCCCAGTTGGAAAGGGAGGTGCCACGCGAAATCACTGGCCAAACCGCAAAGTGCCAGCTCTCGGGATTGCACCCCGGAGATGAACGAAATCAAAGGGAACAATCTGGCGCCAGAATTCCCCCAACCTCAAGTTTGCATTTTTTTCCAGGTATCTGTTCTCTCCTGGAGGAAGTGGCGACGGGATTCGGACAGCACTTTCTTTTAAAAAAATCCACTGACTGCCGATTCCGTAATCTTTTCTTTACATTAAAACCAAACAGGATTTCTCTTTTTAGGGTGACGAAGAGCCAGGGGTCAGAATAATCAGCAACTTTCAAACTTCAGGCTTGGATCTATTCCTGCTCAATAGTTAGCTTGGTTCTTTTCTCTTAAACTACTCCTCCCCCTCCCCCCCAATCTCTGCTCCTAAACGGCTTGACCCGAAAAGTAGCTTCAAGGAATGTGTTTGTTCTTATCCTGCTGGCATTAAGGATCAATAACAGGGGTCAATGTACTTAATAGTTGTTCAATCGTCATAGGATAATACCAGTTTTGTATCTCATTCACTCATTGTCTGTAAGAAGAAATGCGTTGTAAGTCAGGCTACTTGTAAAATAATAAAAACGAGCACTCCATGCACACAGCGAGCCAAGCACTGAATAATATTCCCAAAATTTAACTGTTCCGGTTGATGTCCTGAGAATCATTAACAAACTAATATCTGAATGTGAAAGTGTTTGTTGTCACAAGCAACAGAAATGGGGGTGGGAGCTACGTGTGTTACATTAGTTGCTAAAGCTTCTTACCTCAAACCAAATCCAGCTGTGCTTAATAGAGGTTCTTTCCTGAGCAGACATTTACCTATTACTTTTAGAGAGACTTGCCCAGGAAGACTGCGTGAAGGTGCAGAGTCTAATATGTTATTTTCAAAAGGGATCCCAGTCCCGGAAAAACAAATTGCAATGTCTTGAAGATACCCCATTATTATCCTGAGAAAGAAATTAACTAACCCTAACAACAAATATTTTATGTGCTGTTTATTAATTCCATTTAAAATCTTACAGATAAAAGTCAATTACATTTCATGCATTTAAAATGCAATTTTTAAAGTATTCCAGCGAAAGGCTTTTTCTTTCTTCCTTTGTTTCTTTCATTCTTTTCATTTCAATGTGAAATATCCAAACTTATTTCAACATTACAATGAGACAATTTGTTTGCAGAGTTTGCAAACTTGCAGACAACAATCTTATCCATATTTAGGAATAAGACCTACTGAAGACAGTAGGATCCCTAAGAAAACATGCATAGGATTGTGTTGTTTAGGTAACATCAAAAGTGTGTTATTAACATTCACCATATTTATTTTCAGGAAAAGCACAGGCCATTATTTGTCTGCATCATTTGGACAGTTTATTTAATATATGGGTCTAGATGAGCCCACTGTGTGAAATATAAGAGAATTCTCACTTAAACTATACCTGAACTGTCAGAAAATGCAAAAAAGTACATGCTCCATTAAATGAAATGGCATTCAACATTTATCCAATCTTTTTTGTTTAATTACAGTCTTATGCCTAACTAAATTAATATTCAAGCAAAACTATATTCTGAAGTGCAATTTGCTGTACACTTCAAAGGACATCTTTTTTAAAAAAATGCAGTTTATTAAGACTGCAACAATAATGATTTAATATTTTGTGACAAAAAAGGAAAATGTTTTTTTTTAAGAAAGCTCAAGTGTACTTTGATATATTTTCAAATATTTACTGGAAGTAATATACAAGAAAAATACTATACAAAATCGTCCCCTGGACAACTGCGCCTCACACCAATACAGTGGTGGAATTATATTAAAGTGTTAACTATTTTACAACGATTTCTGTTGTACAAGTCATTAGGTTTAGAACTATTTTACTAATATTTGTCTTTATCCCCTTGTGTTTTTGTTTGGTTGGCTGGGTTTTTTTTTTTTTTTTTTAGCAAACTATAGACTTGCAGAAAAACCAGGTTGGTTTCATATTTCTTACTGTCAGAAAAATTATGCTATGAATTAGAATAAATTATATCCTTGGTGTTTTCAGAGCATCACATGAGATGCTGGGCTTTGGAAATTAAGCAGAGGTGTTGGTACTTTCTTTTAAGAATGGGGAAGAAACTAATCTAGACAGAAGTAATTTAATTACATTATTTTCCTCTAACTTCTAAAAGAATAATAGGGGAGACTGGAAGTCCCTTATATTTAACTAATGGATATTAGCCAGTCAAATAACTACTTTGAGTTGTACTGATCTGACTGAGAAAGAAAATATTAGAAATGGTTTTTAGTATCTCATTGAAATCAATGGGACTGACTTTATATATGGGTCATAACTTTCAACAACAATTATAAAATTTATATAATTAAAGTGGTTGAGCTGCACCAATTGATTACACTTTTTCCAGGAAGCATTTTGCAGAGTCAATTTTTACCATGATTTAAGCAATGCTTGATTACAGCAGAAAACTCGAATTAATAGCCCAATTAAAAACTTTTAAAACTAGTTGGACTTATAGAGGTATAAACTAACTGACCAGAATGGGTGCAGCCCAGCTTTATGAATATTAGCCAAAAATAAATATCTTTATGCTGAATGGAATTTATCCCTAGGAAAGCATGCAAAAGATAGTATTTTAAGGCAATTTACTATGCAATCCTAGAGATACTCAGAAAGGATCCTCACCGTTTAACTTTGGGACTTTAATTCAGTTTGCCTTAATTCTGAGTAAATGGGATTGAAGGGTAATTTTTTTATAATTGTCTATGAAAACAATTTTGGACTTAAGTCTATGAAACCCAGCCTCACTAATTTCTGAGTGAAGGCTCAATGGCTGTATGCCGAGTTGGTTAAACAAGGGGATTTTTCTTTAATGGTTGCTAAATCTGATTTTCCCCTGCCCAAGTCAATGGTATCCTAAGCATCCATTTACTGGAAAGTTCCTGATCTGTTCTTGTTAGAACTTTTTTTAAGAAATAAAAGATAAACCTCCAACTAAGACCAGAATCTCAGTTATTTTGAGCCGCTCGCTGAAGCACAGAATACTTGGAAGTGCTAGACAGAAAAGACATCCGAAAGAAAAGCCTAGCCCATCTTATTTTGTAATATCTACCAAGGCGGGATCCTCTTTGACAGAACTGAATTGCAAATGGGGCGCTAGGCGATCACGCCTACATTCACACTCTCACTTCCACACACGCATACTTTTTAGGTTTCACCCACATCCTCCAGAGTAATCCTATTAATTGCAATATTCCAGAGAAAGCAAGTGAGCGCTGCAGTTTCGGAGCAAAACTGAATAGAAATTTAACTTTTGGAGCAATTCTTTGAAATAATAATAATATTAATAAAAAGCATCTCACAATATTCAAAGTGCTTTCAGCGGGAGGTCTTGGGCTTTCCCGCCTCTCCTATTCCCTACGCCCCCGGGCAGCCGCCTCTCCTTCTCAGAGAGGCTCTGGTCCTTGCCGAGAGCCCGATCCCCGCCCTCCCACTGTTTGGAGCGCCCCAAACCTCTTCCCCTCCGGCGCGGGTGTCTCTGGAGCAGCTGCTCGGCAACCGAAGTCCCTTTTCTGGGCAGGGATCTGGCTGCGAGTCCGCGTTGGCTGGAATGCGTTACTTCGACGTCCAGATCCCCTTTGGCCCAGCGGGCGGGAGGCTACGAAATGGGAGGACTGAAAGCGTGGTGGATCCGAACAAGAAGGGGAGAAGGAGAAACAGAGGACGAAGAGGGGGAGGAGAGAGGCGAGAGCCGGGAAGAGCAAAGCCTGGTCCTCCTCCCGCCTGGCCTCCGCCGGCGCGCTCAGGGCGGATTTCACTCCAGGCCGTTCCGGTGGCCCGGCTCGGAGGTCTGGAGCAGCTCCGGCGAATGGCAGGGCGGGCTGCCGGGGGCGCTGTGCTCGCTGTCGGTGTCGCTGCCCTTCTTGCCGCCCCCCGAGCCGCCACCACTACCGCTCCCGCCGCCGCCGCCGCCGCCGCTGTGAGTCTTGACGTGCTTGCTGAGGTGGTCGCTGCGCATGAAGCGCTTGTTGCACACCGGGCAGGCGAAGCGCTTCTCGCCCGTGTGCGTGCGCAGGTGGCGCTGCAGCTCGTCCGAGCGCGTGAAGCGCTTGCCGCAGAAGAGCCAGTTGCAGACGAAGGGCCGCTCGCCCGTGTGCCAGCGCAGGTGCGCCTTGAGGTGGGACGTCTTGCCATAGACCTTGCCGCAGCCGGGGATGTGGCAGCTGTGCAAGCCCTTGCGCCTCAGGCTGGCACCCGCCGGGCCCAACCGCTCCGCCTCCTGGCAGTTGGGGCAGTCACAAGTGGCGCGGCCCGAGTAACGCCGGGCCGACGAACGCGGGGAGCCGCCTAGTGGCGCGGAGGGTCCGGCGCCCAGCATGGAGGCTCCGGCTCCGGACGTCAGTGGTGAGGGGGCCGCGTCCGGGTAGGAGCCCGGCAGAACCGGCTTAAATCCGTCCATGAGATGCTGCCCAGCGGGACTGAGGAGATGCGAGGAGGCGGCGCTGCTGCTGAAGGCCGAGTGGCCCGCTAGGCCAGAGTAATCCGAGTTGTAGGCGCCAAGCGGCGAGTGCAGGGAGCCCGCCTGGAGCCCGCTGGCCGCGGCAGCGGCCGGGTGGACGCCGTTGGGGTTCTGCACGTCCAGCCAGCCGGCGCCCACGTCCCACCAGCTGGAGGCGCCCGCGTCGCTCGGGTGCGAGGGCTTGAACCAGGATTCGTAGGGGTGCGCCATGCCCACGCGCGGGTAGATGCCCTGCAGGCCCTCCACCGAGGTGTGCACCTTGGAGATGAAGACCGGCTGATGAGCGGCGGCTGTGTCTGGAGCTGCCCCCCCGCCGCCGCCTCCGCCGCCACCACCCGACGGCCCGGGCGCCTGGAACACCGAGTAGTCGTTGGCGAAGGGCGAGCCGGCCGCCGCGCCGCTCGACGTGAGTGAGAAGGCGCTGGATCCAGGCGAGCCGGCGCAGCTGAAGGAGTCCGAGACCAGGGCGGCCGCCGCAGCAGCTGCCGCTGCCGCAGCCGCGGCGTGAGCTGAAGAACCGTTACGGGTCGAGGCCGAGACTCCGACGCCACTCAGAGTGGAGCCCACCACGTTGCAGCTTCCCGAAGATGAAGAACGTTTCCACGGATGGAAGCCTTTGCCGAAGGATGAGGTACTGTCGGACAGGACCGACGGCGAGGGGCTGGGGCTGCCGATCTTGTTGCAGGTAGCGGCGAGCATGGCCAGTGGAGTGGAGCCGAGACGCGGTTCTTCCTGCAGAAAACGGGGAGAGAAGTCCGGGACAGCGCCCGTCATCTTCCGCCGGCAAAGATGCCCGCGGCAGCCCTCCCCAGAGCAGGATCCACGCCCGATAGCCTCGCTTGCGGACGGGGAAATGGGGGCTAAGGCGAGGAACCTTTGCGGTCCTTTACCCCTCCTCTTGATTCCGTGAGAAGAAATGACACCCCCTCCCCCGATCTCTGCTAACAAGCCCCGGAAAAACGTCCTTTAGGAAAGCCCACTGGTTTCTTTGGTTGAGATTGGCTCGCAGCCCGGAGTCCGGCCAAAGAGCTCGAGAACAATCTCAGTCCCATCCAGAAACCAGACTCGGAAGAAAAATCTGAAAACTGAAAAGCTTCTGTACCGACTAAGCCCCAATTCATATGCTGGGTTTACACAGCATTCTTTCTCTTCCCGAAACTACCAAGAGTATTGGTGCATTTAATCCGCAGCCATTCTTATCTAGCAATTAAAACTGGCTGTAGCCGCAGATTAAAGTTGTTTTTTTAAAACGTTTCTTTAGTCTCGGAGTTCACTTATAGCGTTCTTCCCCCCCTCCCCCAAAACTTTTATATTCACACCTCAAGGAAACAGAGACAATCAACATACCTGCAGGAAATGTCGGGCTCAAAGAAATGTTAAAAAGGAGGGGGGATCAACAACAGCAACAAGCTGCTGCAATTTTTTTTTTTTTTTTTGCTTTAAAGATCTCACAGGGAGAGAAAAAGATCAAGCGAGGCAGCTGTTTTTCCCCGTCCGCGTCGACAACAGAGAGGCCAGTTCTCCGGGGATACAGGAATACTCAGCCCAAGCTCTGGAGGTTGTTAAGGGCTAATGCCCTTAAAACCTTTTCCTGCACGCTGTCAAGGGAGTTGAAAAAAAAAGTGGCTGCCCTCTTCCCCCTCCCCTTCCCTCTCTCCTCTTTCTTTTCTCCTAAACTCGCATGGAGTCAAGAGAAAAAAAGCAAAAATGAAACCTTCAATAGTCCCCGGTCAAGAGAGGGGCTGCTTTAACCCTGCTCCGCGATCGCCAATAAACAGGACCCAATTAAAACAGCAAAGCGGGGGGGGGCAGTAGAGGAAAAAAAACACACCCTCGGACTCACCCCTAGAAGTGAAGTTGCCATCCCACAAAGTGCCCTCCTCTCAGAGGATCTTTTTTATATTGATAAATCAGAGGCAGTGTTTTTTTTAGAGGTGTGCAATACAATGATCAGTTCCGCCCATTCCACCACAATTGTAGCTCCCTCTCTCGCTTTGAAGTGCCGCTGAGCCCGCGCCAGCCAATCTGCGGCGCCGTCGGCCGCTCCGCTGCGTTGCCGCGTGAGGTCATCAGCGCCGCCGCCGCCGCCGCCGCCCGCTCCTTCCAGGGCTGCTGCACAGCGCGGGCTGGGAGCGGGCTGGCGGAAAGCAGGCACGCAGGGCGAGCGCAAGGGAGCTGCGGCGTTCCTCGCAGCCCGTTTATTCCCTCCGTTTTTTACAATCTCCCGTTTCCCGGAAGGTTGCTCAGATATTCAGCCCCGCGGAGACGGAAAGAAAAAACGCGTTTTATTCCCCTCTGCACGAGACTACGCACACATGTGACAGCCTTGCGAGCTGCCGACTGTAGTGTCAACGCCTGTCTCTTTTAGTCTGCGGTCTCTCCCACCTTCCTCCATATCCCAATTCCCCGCAGCAATCGTTTGGAAGATTGGGAAAACCCAGCTTTCCTGACAAGGGGAACCTGCCCTTCCCCTACCCGATCACCCACTCACCCAGCCTTTTTGTAACGCCAAGGAGTCTAGTCGTATGAAACGGCGGAATTATCCCGGATCAGGCCACTGTCAGTGGGTCTCCCTCCCTCCCTCCCTCCCTCCCTTCCTTCCCTCCCTCCCTCCCTCCCTCCTTCCTTCCCTTTTTTTTTTCTTTCCTGAAAAAGATGAAGCTGTGTATATGGATTACATGTAGATATTTTAGACCTCAAATTTCCTGGTGCATTCCTGATTATTTCAACCGGATTGTAAGAACTCGGAGAGATATCATTGTTTTGTTTTGGACAATAAAAAGTTTGGAATTGGGATTCCGCACTATGTATTGCAAATTCTTTTCCTCTTTCTCTTTTTTCTTCAAACCGAAATAGCTCCGTTTTCAGTGGAGTGAAATCTCTTGTCCCAGGTGTTAAATGGAAGGATTTTAGACTTCCACCAAAGCGTCATTATTTATTATCATGGTCATCAACACAACCATCACCATTAAAGTGCAAACTTTTTAATTTAAGCAGAAGAGAGCCTTTCGTTAGGAGAATGTACCCTGATATTTTGTTCCCTGCATTATTTTCAGATGAGAAGGGCTCAGTGTTATTATGATTACCATTAATATAGAGAGCGCTACAGTCCCTTGCTTGCAATATGTTTGTAGCTGGAGTTTTTCCTCTACTCCAAACTTTTAGAAGAAATCAGATATATATATAAAGCTGGGGTATCGCGGGGCTGGGACATCTCACCTCTATAACCAATTCTGGGTTTCTCCCCACGCCCACTTTTTTGGGGGGGGGAGGTGGGGGAGGCTTTTAATGCTTTGTGGCTATTGAGTGCACATCATAGCTATTGATTACGGGGTAAGAGGCATGGTCATATTTGGAAGTAAGGAGCGAAGTAAATTAATGAACTGCTGTCTTTCTCTGAAGGCTGACAGTTAACCATGAATGTGGCGCTTCTCTCGCTGAGCTGCTCTGAGTGACTTGAGCCTGTTGAGAAGGCGGGACAGGCCAGCCCAGGAGGAGGAACGGGTGGAGGGAGGGAGGGAGCTGCGTTTAACAAATAAAAAGAATTAACTTCGTGCCTTTGGTCTCCTTCTTTAATGATATTCATTTTAAAGACCTAATGCACACTTGTTTAAATTTAGGATTTAAATTGAATCAATATTACCCCTTGACCCTCCCCCCACCAAACACCCACAGAAAGGGGGTGGGGGTGGGAATGTGGGTAAAAAAAGAGTGAGAGAGTGCTTTATGGGAGAGTCCGGGTGGAGGAGTAACTGTTGAAGCTCGGGATCTGCTGACTTTGTTTGCTGCACCAGAAGGGCACCGAAGAAGAAGACCTGCAGATTTGGGAGGGGGTCGGGAATCAATGAAGTCAGTACCTCTTTCCAAGGAGGGGAAAGACAGCTTGGTGCTGCCTGATCTAAAGAGATCCCTGCAAACAGGGATCATTAATTAGATCAAATTCGTTAGGGGGAAAAAAAGAAAACGCTTTTTTCCTTTTCTTCTCAGTTATGCATTTCTAAATCTCACCAGTTATTATATGATTTGAGAGGACTTCAAAAATGCTTATTTCCGTAGATCACTTCTATTTTCTTTTCTTTCAGTTTCACTACTCAAAAGCAGCATCTACTCAAATTAGCAATTATCACAACTTAGAAAATATCTCCGCGGAAGAATTGCATCCTCTGCGCCTAGCCAGAGAGTAAACAAGGGAAAGAAAGAGAAACAAAGAACCTCGGTGTAGCTGCGTTGCTTGTGCGTCTCCGAACAGACGGAGAGGGGAAGAATGCAACTTGGTGTGCGGAGTGTGTGTGCGCCCAGGATGCGCATCCACTAGCGGCCTTAGCCTCCTATGTTCCTTCCTCTGGGCTGAAAATACCAGATAAATCTAAAACCTGTGGTTATCCCGGCTGGGCACAGTCCGCAGGCAGCCCCAGATCTTGTGGGGGCGGGTGGAGGTTGGGGAGAGGGGGAGATAGGAATTTCTGAGGACTGGGACCTCAAGGGCGAGAAAAAGCTTTCTTCTCCAAATTCATGGAGATAATAAGCGCGCACCAATTCCTTTCGCCGCTTGGCAGAGAGAGGTCCGCACATTTTCTTGTAAACCTGTAGCATCCGCTGCTTTGGCGAAAGTGGCGACCCATTAGCATTCCGTCCGCATCTGCACATAAATTTCATTTGAATTTCAAATTTAATAAACCGGGAGGTTTTTAATCATCCCTGGTTTTATTTGTTTGATATTAACATGCTTATTGACCGGGTCTGTTGACCAGTTTGATCATTACAGGACAGCGAAAAGTTAATTAAAACGACCACAGCTCCTTAATCATATCATCTGTCTCATCCATGTCGCTCCCTTTATTACAGTCTATGATGGATAGTCTCCCAGATTAATTTCTCTGTTTCTTCGATTTGGACAACAGCTTTGGGGACCTAATTTACATACCGGGAACAACTTGCACAAGTCTGCCCAGCGAAGACCCTAGTGGCTGGGGGAGCCATTAGGAATCTCATCCGCCCGATGAGACGAACGTGTCTCTCTGTGTGTGTGTGTTGGGGGGGGGGAGAGAATTGGGAGGAAACAGGAGTCCCAGCTGAGCGCACACTCTCTCCCCCCCCCGCATATACACACACCCGGTCCTGGGGGTGCCAGGAAACAAACTAGCTCTTCGGGCAAGGCCTGAAGAAAGGACGCGGTAGCTTTGCCGACCTTTCGATTTGTCCAAGCGAGACGAAGCGGCTCTTATTGGCCGATTTTCAGGAGCCAAATCCCGATACTAGAGGAGCAGCGTCTCTTCTACAACTTGGAGGAAGGGGAAGAATTGGTCCTATTCAAGGCACTCCCCCTGGGAACAAGCGATACTTCATTCAGGAAGACTTGCGTGCACGGGTCTCCCATGTGCATAATTTGTCAATACACCCAACAACCACCATCCCTCCGGCTATTGATTAGTTTGCGGAGTAAACCAAACGTGGTTTTTATTTGTTGGAATTTGTACGTATGCCTTTTATTGGATTTAGAGACTTCCCAATTCCCAGTTTGACATTTAAAAAACTAAAAAATAAAGTAGGAAAAACTCATCGCCCACCAGAAAAAAAAAAGACCTCAGAGACTCGACGCCCATCCTAACTTCAGGCCTAGAAGTAAAGTTTTTGGAGCAACCGAAGTATCGGAGCTTTACAGATCTTCGGGAGATGCTTTCCAGAAGGATAGCGCAGAGAAGGTGCACTTCCTAGGCGACATTGTTTGATTGATGTGACCTGGGACCAACTCACTCTGCCCATCTTACTCAGCGAGCAGAAACTATTGTAGATAGGCGGTACCTCAGATAACCAGGCTGGATCTGATATATACAGAGGCGTTTAAATGTTGCACGGGCGAAGTCCTAAGTGAGAAAATTCCAGTCTGGGATTCCTGGAGAAGGGGAATACAGTCGAGTTGAATCTCAGGAGCAGGTCAAAGCTATGGGAAAGGTCTGCAGTTGCCTTCTGGGGTGTCTTTCAACTCACAGTGCTCTGGATCTTCTCCTGCCCAAGTACTAAACCAGGCCTTAGAAAAAGTTTTATTGATAGCATGATCAACATACCACCTCAAGAAATAAAGATACGATCCTGTCCTAAAGGAGTGGCATAGGATATTCAAAATCATGAAAGTGTGGGAAGATAACTGAATCTCTAGCCAAAGTTGCCATTATACATCTGAAGACTCAGAACTTTTAAAAAAGAAAGAACACTACCTTCTTTTCACTCTCACCCGCATTAACCTTTTGTTTCTACATAAGTTTCCCCCCTCCCCCTCCCCCATTTCACCCATTTCACCTTAGAATTGTCTAAGAAAAATGCCAAAGAAGTCCACAGGAAGACTGAATAATAACTTAGAACTGTATAAGTAAAGACAATTTTTCTCAGTATTATTTTTTCCTTGTCATTGCTAAATAAAAATATGCCAGTATCCAAATAATTTTAAGCCCCTTGATTTCAACTAGGGCATGTGAAGCTCTTGCTTAAACTCTCTCCCACAGAATCAATGGGAGTCTGAGGTAGCCTGAAGTGCTTAACGTTTCGGAAATCGAAAAGCCTTTTGCTACATTATTATCTCCGCTGCCCGTTTTCATTGTTCCCTTGGCTGGTCTTTCAGTGTTCAACTAGCTAACTTGGTTAAACGGCTACGGTGTTTTAAACAAGACTTTCTTAGGGGAAAAAAAGTGCGGGTATTCAAGCGTATGCGTCCAAACGCGCACCTATATTGCCGTGGGAGGGAAAAACGAATGCGTTTCTTTCCTGCAGGTGAATCGCAGTCTATTCTTCCACTACCCTCAACTGCCTTGCCCACGCATGGGACCTTTTCGTTACAATCTTGAACTTTTCTCAGGGGGTTCCTTTCCCCCCACAGTGCTGCGCGTATTTCGCCGGAGGGGCGTGGCTGAGACCAGACATCATTCGAGGAGGAGCCGACGACCTCGGAATATCTGATTATCCTTTTTTCTTTCTTTTCCCGCTGAAATGGCTTTCTCCAGATGTCGCTTTGGGGCTTGACAGAGCAGCCACAGCCTGGGTTGGTTTCCCTTAATCTGGGAAAAACGTGTCGGCCGTGGCTGTCCCAAACCGGTTTCCCTCGCTTGTTTTCAGACCCCTGACTCCCAGATGTCGCTGAGGAGCCGGTCAGGGGGAACGTGGGAAGAAATGTTGTCGCCTCCTCCATCCCAGAAAACCTTTCCCTACGCAAAGGGGATTGGAACAGGATCCCACTTCGGCGGCGGCGGCGACGATGGCGGGAAGAGGGAAGAAGAGTTGAAACCAGCCACACATCTGGGGGCCTCAAGTAGCAACAAGTGAGAGAAACAAGTTTGGGAACGCTGTCCTGACCCACTTTCGCCGACGCCTATCACTTCGTTTAGGCCCTCAGGGCAGAGAAAGACAGGGAGAAAGGGCTATCTCAGAAAATCACAAGCGTTCCTTAGGCCCCACCCACCCCCACCCTCGAAGAAAAGTCCGGTTTCGCGCCCCCCCCCACGTTTCTTTTATACTTCCGTTTCTCGCCAGAGAGTTTAAAAGCTACAAAATCCGTCTCCTCAGCAATATTGATTTTTTCCCCCTGTCGCACCTCGCCCCCTCTCTTCCTGGAGGTCAGGCTCCCAGATTACCGCACATCTCCTCCAGACGGTTGACAGTTGCAATCGTGCTTACTTGAAGATGAATGTTACTTTGGGAATAGCGTTTAATTACCAATAATTTAAAAGGGTCTTGGAGTTGAACGGTGGCGCGCTGGAGCTATTGCTGGGGTTGTTTAAACGGCCGTGTATTGGAGAATACTTTCACAAGCATCGAAAGACCGGGCAGAGGGGGACTAAAATATATAACAAAATAGGGGGAGGGAGTGCAAACATTCTCCCACCAGCTGGCGCCTAATGGTGCGCAGCAAATACAATATTAGCCACTCGGCGCTGCGCACTCTACCGGAGTCCTATGGAGATCAATGAGACACTCTCCCACCTAAATAAGCTCAAATTCACAGCCTTCTTGCAAGATGGGCGGTTGGCCCGAGGACACGGCTTTTCTTGTAGCAGCTGAGCTTTTGCTCCGGATCTGGCCTGCGGCGTGCAACTCAGGTCCTCTAATCTCAGACAGCGCAGGTCTCCATCCAGATCGTAGCACTCGGAGGCTGTCAAACAGCTCTGAACTATGACCTGGGGCAAATGAAGTATTACCCGAGGCGTGGAAAAGGGGCGACCATCTTACAGGGCTCAGAAGTGGTGCTCCATACTCCTATTTTGGTCCCAGTGCTCTTTTGAATGCATTCACTACACATTTATTTACTTATTAGTGCAATTTATATACCGCCCTTCTCCGTAGACTCAGGGCGGTTTACAATGCATTATAGCAATAGCCTGCATACTTTTTGTACATACCTGCTTATTAGGGCTTTCGCCCCACCCCCCTAAACGGCGGCGTTCTATACAAAGTTGGCTTATTACAATCCGGGCCCACAATCCCCGCCCAACATGGCTGGGCGACTGTATAAAATACCTACATATCCAACCAGGTTGCCACATTTCTTCTCTTTCCAAAAGTTGTAGGACCCCTTGCCCTAATACAATACTCACCTACCCCCCCTTGCATTGGAACTCACTTTTTCCCTTTCGGCCACCTGAAGCAACGTGTGAATGGTGACTCTGCATGTGCACTTGAGTGGGGGAAGTGGCGGTCGGTTATTCCCGTAGCCTGGCCTGCTAAGGAGCGGAGGTGGGGGTGAGCAGCGCCGAACAGATGTCCTCGTTTAAGCCATTCTTTTCCCACATGCTCCGTAGAGATTGCCATCGCTTAGGAAGCTCGCTTCAAACCTGGCCCATTATGGGCAAGTTATTCTGGACCACTGAGCACGAACAAAATGGGCTTCAGATCGCGTGCTTTAGAATAATTCGAGGCCAGGAAAAAGCTAAACCAAGGAAAAAAAAGTCCATTAAAAGAGAGGGAGAGCAAGAGTAAGCTGGATGGCACCAGAAAAACTTATTGAAAAGATCTCCCCTCTGCCATAACCATCATCTCCATCCTACCGCCCCTTTACAGATATATTATAATTTACAGGGCCATCTAATAATCCAAAGGGGCATTGTAAAATAGGAAAAAAATAAAGGGAAAGCAGGGGGAGGGGAAACCAGAAAAAAGAGGAAGCCCCTTTTTGCGTTGTAAAACCTCTCCTAATTACCTGCCAGAGCAATTAGCTGACTATCACGAAGAAATTAGATCGCTCAATGTAGCATACATAATGCGAATCATTTTGTAAGGCAAAAAGGAAGGGAGACCTGCGTTTTCTTTACAAGAAAATAAGCCGCCATCCTGGGCGAGCCTTCCGTGGGCACGAATTACGGATGTCTAGGCGTGTAGGGCAAAGAAGCCGGACATCAACTAACCAACTAGGCCCCCCCAGCCGGGGCACAACGCGCCCTGTCCATTTACCCCGGGAAAATAGGGGGCGGGTGGGCAGGCGAGCGCAGGGAAAGCCGTTTCCAGGCGCTTAAATTCAGAGGCTTCCAGATCGCTGTAATTAACACTGAGCGACTTCAATAGGGAAACCTGTTTTCCAGATGATTTTGACAATGCGGCTTTATGTCTCGCTTGGCAGTTTTCGAGAGCTGGAGTCGGTTCTTGGCCGCTTTACTTGCCTCTCATCTGTTGAGCATATATTTGCCCAAACCCAGATTTCAACGCGGCGTGTGCTAGCCAAGCTTATGTGGCAAAGCATTTCTTCGCTGACCCGGGGACTGACTGAGCAACATGGACCCTGGAAGCTCCGATGAACCGGAGCCTTTGGTTGCTCTCCAACCAGCTCTACTCGTGAGTATCAACTTAACAGTCAACTATTTTTATTCGAGGACGGAGGTGGGCAAGATGGATTCTTTTCCTCCTCCTAGTCATTTTGAGCAATAAAAAAAAAACTGGATCAACTACAGCCATGGCAACTAGAGTCTCATACACATGCAGGCACAAACACACACAGACACACACCAATCCCTCCCTCCCAATAGCAAGGCGTTCTATTGAAAAGTATAAATTTAACGAGTTGTAGGAAATAAACACACTTCATTTTAAAAGAGCCATGCTGCTTTTGCAATTTTGATTTCCCAGATTTAGCACTTGGCAATCTTTCACACTAAGAAGTTGCGTGTTACACGCTGCCAATCTGTAGTTGGGATGAAGAAGCAAAATCAAAGGTCCCCTGAAGTAGCTGAGGGATCTACTCCAGTTCCCCCAGAGTTGGACTCATAAACAGTAAAACCAAATTATGATCAAATATCATGATCTTTGGACATAATCAGCCACCTCCAAATCACCTGTAAGAAAAAAGGGAGAACAATAAAAGCCTTTGACGATTTCTTTGTAAAGATGTAACTAACAAATAGCTTTTTAGAGCCAGTTGGAATGAAATATACAATATCCTACTAGAGGTGGTATTTTTGAAGTGATTTGACAAAGATAACATTTACTCACTGAGCAGGGCAAGCAAATAATTTATTAGCTTTCTTTTCTAAAAGGTCATCAAGCTACAGCTCAGGTTCAACCTCAATTCTGCAATGACATTATTCCTGACATTATTCTGTCTGTGATAAAAGCACTTGTCCCTTAGATTTTGCAATTCTGAAATAAAGAAGTAGGCGAATTTTCTCACCGATGAAGTCCTGCGGGAACCAAGATTGAGGACTTGATGATAAATAAAATCTGGTTGCAAGAGATCCTGTGCGTTCTGAAATTTGGCAGGGTGTGGAAAGAAGGAAGGAATGTTTTTATATTGCCCACTTATGTAGGTTTAAATAGAACTCTGCAGACTTTCCAGTTACATTGATCTGGCAAAAAACATTCCATGTAACTACAAAGTTTCCTTATTGCTATGCCAACAGAAACTGATCCAAAAAAGGGAAGGGTCGGAGCCCCAAAAGGGAGAGATTGAGTGAGAGCTTAACATAACTACAAATTGCTCAACTGTGCACCTCCTACTGCTGTTCTATGGTTTTTGTAATGCAGCAGCCCTCATCCAGCTCTTCTATGCTGGCATGGCTCTCTCCAAAGGAGCAAATGCTTTTATGATTCTGACTTATCAATTCATTAGAAACAACTGTGTAGATCCAGGAAATAAAACATCTGCAGTCATTCCAGGCCAAGTTCTGCAGATCCGTAATGGAGCAGAACTGGCACTAAATGGGCCTGAAGCACAAGGAGTGCTTTTCTCAGCTAAAGACTGCATGAAACATCCCAGAGATATGGGGATTAAACAACCATATACCAATGAGATTAGAAAGAAATCAGGGCTGAGCTTCTCAGCTGGCTGGGTAATTCATAGCCGCTCTGGTGACAGTACTGGAATTGCTGTAAAGTCACTCCAGTATGAGTCAGGCAGGGCCAGACCTAACATTAGGTTAACAGGTAGCGATGGGCAGTGGCCTTAGGGCAGTTGGTATTAAGTTTCACAAAATGGAAGAGAGAATAATCATTACTTGTCAGGAGTGGAGAACAGATGGAATCATATTATGAGCTTTTTTCTATGGGTGTTCAAATAGTTCTATTGGCCTTGAGTGCCTTGTCTGGAGAAGAGTCATCATATGCTCTTTTGCCTGGCCAGCAAAATGTCATGGGTTGGCCCTGAACGTATACAGAAGAATCCTGAACTGGAAATCTGATTCATCCAGAGACTAAAGATAGAATTTGCCTCACTATTTCTTAGCTTATAATGTCTTGGATTCAACTTGCTTCCAGTCTTACCACATGCACTGAAAGCTATGAAAAACTAAGCTAAGTTTCAGCTCACTGCAACTACCTCCCAACATTCAAAACAGGCTGCATGTTCTAAAGACCTATTGCATACAGTACTAGGGAATGAAAGGCATAGAAGTAAGACATGATTCTCTGGTTGAATCCACACATCCTACTAAACTCCATTTGCTTGACCATGCTTTATGGAACAAACTATAGTTGGCAGAATTTACAGGGCCATGGAAAATGATTTTCAAAGCATTATAGCTTTGTGCCATCTACCTAATCAAACTAAACAAGGGGATTGTATGTTGTAGGATCCCAGCCCTTCCTTATTCTTAAACTATTGGCACTCTACATTCAGACCCACACATGCCTGGACTGCTTGCTCTTTTCTGAAGTTAATAAAGGTATGTGATGAGTCATATCAGAGCAGAAGAGAAGGAAAGGAAATCCCAAATGCATCTTGACCCTTCAGCCCTTGAGTACTGTATTTCTCACTGTAGATCTCCATTTACTAAAACGTCTTAAGAATTCCTATTCTTCCAAAGTTTTCAAATCTTCCATTTTAAATCCTTCCATTTTGCTCAAGATAGTACATGTCACATTCAATTTCTGTCTTGGTTTAAACTAGAAACGAAAACTAACAAAGAAGTCTTTGTCTTCTGTAAGTTAAAGCAGCCCTAAATTAGGATTGGTATATTTCTGCCAAGTGACCTGCAAAGAGCACTGTTAAATTCAGCAGGACTTATACTTAGATTCTGGTACTGACATGGTTATCAGGAATAGGATTAAACCATTTTATATATCCAGTAAGCCCATAGAAATAACAAACTAGCTTAAATTCTGCTGAGTGAGGAGGGAGAGCTGTTGGATCCAATACACAGTGATTCGAGAAGGCTTTGCATCTGAGATTCCAGTTTTATTTTCAATATTTTATATCATCAAATGCCAGTGTTTCTCAACTTTGTCTACTTCAAATGCTGGCTAGGGAATTCTGGGAGTTGAAGTCCACCCATCTTAAAATTGGGAAAGTTGAGAAACACCGCCCTAGTCTTTCAATCAACCTGATCAGTTGGAATAATATATGGGCTGTGAAATTTTGGACAATCACTAGATGACAGCAACAAAAAGTAACACAAAACCTACCCTTTTGTTTCCCTCCCATGGTCATACAGTCTAGCAATGTCATGACAAAAACAGTAACTTTTAAATGGTTACATGCATGTCTTGAGTAAGGGGAACAAGTAGTATTGCTATGGGGAAGCTACAACCCAAAGATTTCCCTTTTCCTTTTCTTCTGCGCTCAGCTCTTGGCTGAAAGTTCTGCCTTGAGCTCTTTGATAATTCATCTACTTTGGGTTGCAGGAAGTGCTACATAAGGCCATGCTTGGAGGACTTCATTCCAAATGAGAGTCTTTCACCTCTTGTGAAGTCTTACCTTGCTGGGAACCAGTTTGGTCTAGTTATTAAGGCACCAGGCTAGAATTTGGGAGCTGGTGAGTTCTAATCCCACTGGGTGACTTCGGACCATTCATTCTCTCTTAGACCAATTATCCCCACAGAAGGGTTGTTGTGGGAAAAATCAGAACAGGAAGGTAAGTTGGATATATTAGCCACATTGAGTTATTTGTAAAAATAATAAAAGTAGGACAAATAAAAAACAAATAAGGAAACAACAATATATTTTAAACTGCTTTTAAAATTTCTGTATTCTATGTTTTTTACCTTTGGCTGTTCACCGCTCTGAGTCCTTCGGGAGAAGGGCGGTATATAAATTTAAATATAAATAAAAAATAAATAAACTTCAATTTCAAGGTAGCAGTCACCCTTTTAATTTTTTTAAAGTCCCACCTTGCCAATCCCCCTCCTCATTTAACATGGCTTCTTTACTATTAAGCTGATTGCATGAAAATAACAAGAGTGATATCTGTAGGATCTCATTCAAAAATGGGCACGAAGAATGTTCATACAAACATTCATTCAGATCAAACCTGCCAAGGTACTGTAACAGTAATAGAGGGACTGCTGTCAACCTACCTCTCCATTCTTCTATTTTCCATGAAATGTATAAAAGTATAAATCCCAGTAATTGTTACCTCGATATTAGTTCATGTAGATAAGCTAATAAACAAATTATACTGACACAATCAGTTACTGATAATACAGTATCTCATGTCTTCACCATACAGTGCTTTGACACTTGCATAAACTCAGATATGTCAACAAACCATAGTTAAGCTATGGAGACAATTAGTAAATGTTTCTTCTAATGAATAAAGATCTCAAAAATTCTTTTTCTGAAAATATTTTTTCTGCCAATGCTCCAATTAGCTGTTTCCTTTTCCCCTGAAGGCTACATGATTTGGCTTAAGCTAAAGAAAGAGTCAAGAGAAACAAGGCCTAGCCCTGAAAATTTAATTAAAGACTTTGTTTCTCTATTCCCACTCCCTTATCCTGCATGGTTTCATGCTGCAAATCACCCAGCCCCATGTATACAAGCAGAAAGTGTCCATCAGTAATCAACTCAACTAGAGCTTGTGAATAGTTAGAGAGGCAAGACTTTGGTTGGATTAAATTAAGTAGTGCATACTTATGTGCCCTGCTGTTTTAAAACAAGAGCATGCAAATTGGTATCGTCCCAGTATTTCAGAGTAGCATCTTTTGTCATTAGTCATTATTTGCATTTTGGGATACGGGGATTTCTGTCTTCATCCTATGCCACATAATCAGCCTAAACATCCCAATGGAGCTGCAAAGGGATTTGAATGGTAGGCTTGTGATCAATTCCTCTTTGGCAGATCCTTGCAGGAACCTTCAATAGAGTAAGCTGCAGGAAAAATGTGGAGGCATATTTATAGAGTCTGAGAAAAGTTGGAGTTAGTCAATGTCTTAAATGAATCTGAAGGTTTCATAGTCATATTAAATATACTGAGAATCAGCCTTAATCTTTCCAACTACCTATTGCCTGCTGAAATACATTCTGAAATGTGCTTCAAATCTCTTTATTACAATATTACATATTCCTGGACTGGTATTTTACAGCAGGCAGCAGACCAGGTCCTGAATTACATTTTACATGTTTGCGTGTAGTAAGACAATACTTATAAAGAATCAGTTTTAAAGTGTAATCTTATGGGAGTTTAGGCAGTGCTCACATAACACATAAGCCATAATTGGCTAAATTAGCCACAATTGCATAAGCCCACACTCTGCCACTAAGCAAATGCAGTGATTTTGTAGTATGCTACTTGTTATAGGCAAGATGACCATTTTTTTTCCTCCTTTGTATTAAAGGCTTTGTCCCACAATACATAAGCAGTCAGGGAGACTATCATCTATAAGGGAATTGAAGCAGGGTGGAGAGAAAAGGCTGACAGGAAAGAAGTGCCTGAAACAGATAAATACAGGGAAACTGGTAAATAAGTAACATAAAACCAATTCAAGATTCCTCATTATTTTCTGGATAATATAAATGAAGCAAAGCAGGCCGGGCTACATTCATGCCTCAATACACACGAGTTTATTAAAGGAGACTAGAGTAGAAATACCTATTTTCTTCCCCAAATAAAATCCTGGAATTGATCATCTCTATAAGGGATCAGTTGAACTCCCTCCAGGATAATGACTGATAGAGCAGTAAAGATATGATATCTGTTTACTGCAAAGAACAAAGAGTTACAGGGCACAAAGTTGGTTATCAAAAAAGGAATCAATATAAAACTTGATCTCATTACCATTTCAGTAATATTATACAGCTGTAATTGTTCTTCAGGTTATTTACATTTCTCTTCAATGGGTGTATCAGTAGTCCTCAACTTACAACCATTCCTTTAGAAACTGTTCAAAGTTAGGGGAGGAGTTAGGGGATTTACAACCAGGGGTGGGTTCTACTTACCTTTATTACCGGTTCGCAGTGGGGCCCCTCGCACACTCTTCTGCACATGCTCAGAAGCGCTTTGATGACATCGGGGTTGGTGGGCAGAGCCTCCCACTGGTTTTAATACTGGTTCTATAGAACTGATGCGAACCGGGGGCAACTCACCACTGCTTACAACCAGTGCAGCATCCCTATGGTCAAGTAATCAAAAATCAGGCGCTTGGCAACCAGCATGTATTCACAACAGTTGCAGTGTCCTAAAGTCCATGTGATCACCATTTGCAATCTTCCCAGATGACTTTTAACAAGCAGTCATGGGAGCAGCTGGATTCACTTAAGGCTACATGATTCATTTTACTTCAGTGATTCACTTAACAACCATGGCTAAAAGGTCATAAAATTAGGTGCAACTCACTTAGCAATGGAATCATTTTGTTTAGCAATTTAGGAAATTCTGATCTTAGTGTGGTCATTAATCAAGGACTATAGTAGTATTTAGAAATTCTAGGTTTCATACTACAGAATTCCAGAACACTAGTTAAAAATTCTAACTCAAAGTAGATAGGTACCAGTATGTTTTAGTGTAGTAACCCTATTAGGAAGTATGTAGATTTACAGCGGTTCTTATACTGGTACTGAATTGGGCCTTTCAAATAAATTCTCTACAGGTCCTCCTAAAAGTTAATTTGAGTGCAAAGCCTGACTTGGAGGCCAGAATGTAGCATTTGCAGTTTTAGAGGCTGTCAGCAGATATTTTTACCTAAGAGTAAATTCTTTTAAGAGTATTTTCTCCAATACTTGGCAGGTTGATGCAGATAAGTAATCAAGTTTATTGTGGATATCTCCTTCTTCTTCCTCTCACCCTCATGAAATACCACTCCCAGGGAAAAAATGCACAGCAATTTCACCAGATCCATCGGTTTTGTCGTTTGCACTTTTGCCTTGATCTGCCCATTGAACTTTTGTTAATGGACGAAAGCAGCCTTGCTCTTATAAAAAAAAAAAGAAAGAAAGAAAAAAGAATGTTACAGACAGTTCAAACTAAATGAGCTGGGGCGGGGGCACACTCTATTTTGACCAAGCCAGTAAGCATGGCCGTTGTTGCAATTTAATTCACTTATTGCGCCTAGTGGGCACGGAATTCCATCAGAACATTTGTCAAAACCGAAACCAAAGACCAGTACTCCATCTCATCCTTCGCGCCCTTAACTCCGTTGTTCTAACGGTAACGCGCGTCGTTTTCTTCTTCTCTTCCATCCAGCTCCGCCTTGCCTCGCCTCAAGCTTTCTTCGCCCACGACGGCTTGACCTCGCTCGCGCTCCCGCAGACCCAAACAGACACGCCTGTCCTCCCCCAAATGCCCCCTCCCGCCTTTGTCAGCCTCGTTTCCTGTAGGCGGTTTCTCCGTCAGGTCGCATTTCTAAAAGCTCCGGGCTCAGAGGACGCGCCCTACAAACATCGTTAAGGGGAGGGAGGGGGAGGGGGAAGAGGAGGCAGACGCGAGCTCCGCCCACCGCATCCCAGCGCGGCCTGCCCTGGTCCGCCTCCTGGGTGCTACTTCTCCTCCTCCTTCAACGCCCCGCTCCGCCCTCTCGGCGCAAAGAGCGTCTGGCTCTTTGGCAAAGGAAAGCTCGCGCAAGGTGGGCGGCAGGTGCGCATTCCGGCTTCTGCCTTCCCGGCACGAAGCCGCGAAGCCCGTTGGCTCTACTTCGCCAGACGATTGCGGAATCTCACTGGGGGAGGGGGAAGGCTTGTCGAAATCGATGGGAGACGTTAAGAAAGAGAAGGCTAACGGCTCCCTTCCTTTCGTAGTCCTCTTAAAACGCTGCTCCTAACTACCCAACCAAGTTCAACAGAGCGCAACTCCCAGGACCGGCCGTCACCCCACGCAGAGGCTGGCGAAGACTTCCGCCCCCTTCGGAGCAAATTGACCGAGGGGAGGGGATGAGCCCGCCTTCGCAATAATGCCGCTCGCTGCACCCTTTGTTTGCCGGTGCCTGGCGGGCCCGATCAGTTTGGAGTGGAGGGCGCCTCGAAACTCTTCTCGCCTCAGAACAATCGGGTGCGGCCCGGCTCCTCCCGCCCGCGTGGCAGGGGCGTCCTCAGAACGCCCTTTGCGGCCTGCTGAGAGCTGTTCGTTGCTGTTGGCCTTTTCGTTATTTTATGATTATTCACCTTGTGACCGCGCTCAGCTTACATGCACAGTAGCAGTCTCGGGATATAAATAGAGTTCTTTCTGGGGCCGCGCCAACCTCTTTGATGCCCCCCCCCCTTCCCCGCCAACGGTTAAATGGCTCCTGGCTATATTTGAGGAAGCAGAACTGAGCTTGTAAAAATATATAGCTGCGCTTGTGCCCTGGGCTTGTTCGCGCAAGCCGTTCCCCGAGAACAGCGCCGCTGCCGCCGCAGGGGCGTTCTGTGAGGCCGTTGCCGTTGCCGTCGCCGTCACCATCCGGTTTCCTAAATCGGGACGGCCATCATCCCAGTTATTCCTAAACTGCATCTGTTGCGGTCGTTTCGATCGGCCTCTGCCGAGGTTGCCTGCCACGCGTTCGCATCCCGCTTTGGGGGCCCACTTCGGCCAATCCCACCACACCCATTCTACCGCGCTGGCCAAATACCAAGTCTCTCTATAGGCGGGTGCAGCCCTGGAGCGTATCCTGGCCGACCAAACTTTTGCTTCTTAAGACGGAAATCTTGACCCCTGCCTCGATCACGGTTCTCCCAATGGACAGTCCTGCTACTGTAATGAGAGATACTTTAAAATAAGGAAAGGTGCTTTTATAATGTGCGTCGAGAGGAAGAAAGATGCAGTAATAATGTTTAACACAATCGAAATGATGCAGGAATGATTCCAAGTATTGGAATTACTTAACCCAGCAATATCGATTTTGAGAGGGATTTACTAACGGCCCAGATATAGATATATATTGAGAGATAGATAGATACTACAATCTTCTTCATTAATAGGTGGGGCTTCAGTTTAACTTATACATATAAAACACTGGGTGCTGCCAAGATAGTCATCAACAAGTAGCTTTTCATTTTAACCAGTGGTTACCTCTAAAACTTAAAATCGACCTTTCATAGAGTTGCTGTGACAAAGAAATGTTGGGAGAAAAGAAACATACACTACACCTTGGGGCCTAAGAAGTTAAAAGGAATATGTTCTTATTTAATAGAAATTTGTAACTATTTGAAAATTTAAATGTATGTTCCCTATTTTATTGTGAGCTTTACCAATGCTGTTTAGACAGAAAGGAAGGATTTCATAAATCAGTTATTGTACTGAAGACTTTCTAAGCAAGTGGATGTAATTTTCAGGTTAGCTGTTGAACTTTTAAGCTCTTTAAAAAAAAAAAGATAACCAAGTTTCCTGGAGTTCCAATCCAAACTATTCATATGGAAATGAGCTCCACTGAAGTTAGAAAGTGGTTGAAAGTGCTTTCCAAACACTCTAAATTCACATAATTCAAGGACTTTAAGGGATTTGCTACAGTTTCTATTGACTGAGAAAGGTCCCGATCTTTTCCATCTTTCAAAAATAAAATAACATTGCAAACTGCTCCAGTATGGTGAAACTATTCTTGTTTTAATTCTTTAAATTCCCAGCCTTGATTCAGAAATAGGATTAACAGCAATGCAAGTGTAACAAAGAGAACCTTTTATTGTGATGCAAATCTCTCGATATTCCCTCCTATCTCTGCTTCTCAGTTGATCTGATTCCTTTATTTTCAGGAGCACGCTATGTTACAATATTATTGGATCTAGAATTCAACAGGAGCTTTTAGGACATGTTTTTTATTCACATCTAGTTGCCAATTAAAGCTTGACTAAACCAGCATGCTAGTCATTCTATCTTTTTATTTTCTGGGCTGCAATCCTATGCACACAATCCCATAGACCATAGTGGGATTTTCTTCTCAGTAAATATGTGCAGGATTGTAGACAACTAGATTTCCCCCCATAGTCTAATATTCTTGGCATGTGCTATGATAACAAGTTCCAGAATTTTCTACCAGCATTACTCTTTTAAGCATTTATAGAGAAGTGGGATGTGACTGAATTTGACTGAAGCCCAGTCATCCTGCAGAGACTTGCTTTGAATTAGTAGGCAGTAGCAGGGATTTCTCCAGAGCAGGAGGCAGAGAGAAGTCTGCACACACACATAAGTTTAACTATTGCTGCCCTACACAATAATGTATTCTCAGAAGGGTGGCCTCGTAGGATCTGGTTCAGACAATGTACTAAGCTATAATGAATTGGTTGTGCTTAGTACCATGTGCCGACTTAGGGTTTATAAAGCATTATTACTTTTCTTTTTACAACATACCATACTTAAGCGTAATGTTTAGATCTTGACATTAAGTGCACTTTGGTTTTTTAAGAAGCCTCCTCACTATTATCATGACTTTATTTATTAACAAACTTTGCAGCTCCAAGCAACTCTTTCTGACTCCAGGAAATGCCTAGAGTGAAACAAATTCTTAAAGATGGGAGACTATTGGCAGCCTTTTAGGTGTGAAATTGCTTTGGCTTTATGGGCTGTTCACTCAAGGTCCAGGGCAGCTAAAGAAAAGGCATCTTTTGACTTCAAAGGGCACTTTGTTAATCTTTCTAGTTCCCCTCACCAAAGAAGCAATTTGGAAACACTCTGCAAACTAGCTCAACAGAAATAGTGAGTCTTAGAAGAAAACAGCTTCAGGCAAGTCATCCCTATTTTACTCAGCTCAGAAGATCTCAAAGAAAGCAACAACAAAAGTAACATCAGATATATATACCTTTGTTAGCATCTAACAGACAGACTTCTCTAAGATATCACCATTTTTTCATTCCAATTCCTATTAACCAAAGAATGAAACACTGTTATTCTCCTGAGAAAACACATTGTCAGAGGCATCAGCATCTTCAGTCCCTACAATGGCTTACAAAGATATGTCTGCAAGGATTCTTAAATTACATTTTATGTCCTTTGCAAAACAGGAAATGCCATCCAAAGACTACTAAGTGTGCCCACTTACTGCAGCTGGAAATGTTTCTAATTTTTTTTTGAGGACTATGATGTTATATACTTGAGCATCCTTTTGAAACTTTCTATTTTTATTATGATATTGGGGCAGATCTGACCTGGCAGGTACAGTGTTTTTGATCACATTTCATTATTATTTTTTCCTTTAGAATATCCTAATTATTAACCAAGTGAACCTTCTTCCTGATTATGGTTATTCACAAGCCAATATGTCTAGCATGAGAAAATCAGTAAATTGCAGTCATGGAAGATAGGCTCAACTGGGGCATTGGTTGCTTCAAAGACACCTGAGATGCTCTCTTATTTGATGGAATCCATGACAGAATCAAACCTATCGCAAGTATCTAACAAAACATTTTTAATGTGGACATTTTTGGGATATTCCACATGTGCATTAAAGAACTGAAATGTCTGTTAATGGTCTATTAATCATATTCTTAAACATATTAAAACAATACTGTATCTACAAGTTTGGGATTAAAGTTTTTCATCAAAAAATGCATATTTTTAAATATTGATTAGCCTCCCCAAAGGAGAGGAAAGAATCCACATCAGATTATCTTCATTAGAGGTATAAAGCTTTTAAAGATTCATTGATCCAAGTGATACGGCCATGTGATAATTTGGTACCTTTATGGAGAAATCTTTAAATATTGAATATATTAATGTGTTGTTGAATTATATACCAAAGTTTTGGGACCTGACTATTTATTAGGAATTGCAGTTGTATTGAAAGTTGTGATGTGCATGTGCATGTACAGTAGTGGCCAAAATTGTGGAAACCTTTTGGGAAAAGTGTATTTTTGAGGTTTGATGGCTATAATAACCGCCCCCACCTTTTTTTTGGAGTTTCAAGATAATCATATTCCACTGCTGGAATGGCCTGGGAATAGCCCAGACCTTAACCCAATTGAAAATCTGGAGCCGACTAAAGAAACTTGTTAGTCAGAAGTGACCCAGCAATAAAACCCAGTTAATAGACACAATCATTCAATCTTGGTTTCACATTATAACAACTGCAGAACTAAAAGACTTGGTTCACTCCATGGGAAGACATTGTAAGGCCATAATTCATGATAAAGGTTATCCAACTAAGTATTAACTGACGTGATAATTTTTGTATATCTCATTTTTTCTATGGGGATAATTTTTGTATATCTCATTTTTTCTATGGGGATAATTTTTGTATATCTCATTTTTTCACTCTTCTCCTTTATACTGAAATTGCTATTCTAATAGCAAATCCTTCATAAAAGTTATTGCTTTACATTCTTGATTAAAGTATCTTTCCATTGATATATAATTTTATGGTACTACTAGCCAACAAAATTGGTGTTATTAGCTAGTTTTAGAAAATACACTTTACACTGTATGTGCATGCATATGTGTACTAAAAAAATTATGTTGAGAAATTGGAAAAATTATACTCTAGTTTAAAGAAAAAATACTCTAGTTTTATTCATCTT